CTTGCTTTTTCGAAAACCATTAGGAAGGTCGTAAAAGGCAATCTCATAACTCTGGGATACTACAACATTGTAAATTCACACCAATTGCCAAGCAACCAAATTATGATCAAGTGACTGTACAGATGCTAGGATAGTCATAAGTGCAAGGACCATCCATAAGTGACTATTTTCAATGCCATTGTAACTTCAAATGGCAACTAAACTAATGATTGTAAATTGAGGATTAGCTGTAACACCTCACTTATAAGGAGGGATCTGATAATTACATAAAGTTCTCAGAACTCTGATTTTATAAACCTTAAATTTTAGCCTACTTGAGAGACCGCCTGCTGCCAATTACCTCCCNACCCTGAGCCGGTGAGATTTGAACAGCCGAACTGCAGAACTGCAGTCAGCTGAAGTAGCCTGCAGTGCTGCATTTAACCACTGCACCACCTCGGCGGTTGACATGCACATTGGCCGTCGTGTTGTCTCTGAGAATCAGTACATGGGAGTTGCATACTGATGATTGGAAATGGAGGAGGGCCAGCTGAATCACCCTCACCTCCAGCCAGTTCATGCTATGGGCAAGGTCGGAGCTGGACCACAGACACTGGGCTACTATAGAGTCCAGGTGAGTGCTCCATCTGGTGAGACTAGCATCTGTCGTGACTACGAGACAAGGGGGCTCCCTGAAGAGGAACCTCTGGGAGATAGCCAGGGAGATCCACCAGTCTAGGGAGAGGATGACCTCTGGTGTCAACCTGACCTTCACTAAGGAGCAACTGCTGTTGGTCCTCTGGTATGGCAATAGAAACCACTGGAGGCAGCGGCTGTGAAGCCATGCCCAGGGGATGATGGAAAAACATGAGGCCATCTTCCCTAGTAACTGGGACAGTAGAATCAGTGGAACTTGTTGCTTTCTCCATACCTCATTGGCCAGATCTCTGAGACTGAGTTGTTGTTCCAGGAAGACCCTGTCCTGAACAGAATCTATCAGGGCTCCCAGATGGACCAACCGGAAGGTGGGAACTAAGTGGCTCTTGTCTCAGTTTATGGAGAAGCCTTGATCCTGAAGGACCTGGATGGTGATCTGGCGGTCCTGAAGAACCTGGTTGTGAGACCTGGACAGCAAGAGGATGTTCGTCCAGGTAGCACAATATTCTTATGGGTCTGGCTCGGAGGTGGGCGGCTACCACCGCCTGTATGGTGAAAATCCTTGGGGCAGAAGACAGTCTGAAGGGGAGAGCCCAATACTGGAAGTGGTTGCCTGCATAAACAAACCTCAGGAACTGCCTGTGTTGTTTGAGAATGGGTACATGGAGGTAAGCCTCCGTGAGATCCACTGAGGTGAGGAGATCATTCTTGCAGACAATCGAGGATGGATAGGAGAGAGTGCATTTTGAATCTCCTGTATCTGATGAATTTGTTGAGGAATTTGAGATCAAGGATTACTCTCCAGCCCCCCAAAGACCTTAGCATGATAAAGAGACGAGAGTAGAACCCCCGCCCTGCCTGGCCTGGAGGCACAGGCTGAATGGCCCAAATATGGAGCAGGTGATGGATGACCTGCTCCACCAGGAGCCTCTTGAGAGGATCCTTTGAAATGGGGCACGTGACAAAGTGGTTTGGAGGGCTGGTGTGCACGTCCAAGGCTAGACCGAATCAGATGGTGGACCTGATCCATACATCATTGGTGATGTCGTCCCAACGATCCATGAAGGCTGCTAGACGTCGCCTGATAGGGAGGGACTCCAGGCAGTCTCTTCTGTCTCTTAAATTATTGATTGGAATTATACCTGAAGGATTTCCTGGGAGGGAAACTTTGATTGTTTCTTCCAATTCTATTGGGGAAGGGGGGTCCCTGTCTGGGAGGAGCCTGACGTTGTGGACAGGAGTTGGATAAACCCCCGTCCTGCCCTCGAAAAGGCTGCCTACGATAGGATTGGTTACGATTATCCTGTTTTTTGGTGGCAGCCTGGACAACCTTCCATTTGTCTTTTGATTCCACTAAGAGGGGCTCTAGAGGGGACCGAAAAGAAGACTGGAGGAATAGGCTGAGGAGGCGAACCTCCATTTTGCCCGGACATCAGCCTGCCATTGCTTAAGCCAGAGGAGCCGGCGGGATGTGACGGAGGAAGCTATGGATTTGGAAGTGAAGCGGGCTGCATCCAAGGATTCATCCGCGGTGTATTCTAGGGCCACTTTTAGCTTGTTGATATCTAGAATCCCTAGGGGAAATCCTTGCCTGGAGCTGTCTGAGCCACAGGAGAGCAGAATGGCTAAAGAAAGAGGCTGATGTAGCGGCTCGAACGGCCCACGCAGCAGCCTGATGCCCCTTGACGAGCGTCTGCTCAAACCGCTTGTCTTCAAGGCACAAGGTCTCCTCGGGAGCTGCTGATGCTGCATTAGGGGATGATAAACTCACCACCGGTAGGTCAATGGAGGGTACCTCAAGTGCCTTGGAGAGTTCCGGTCCCATGTTATACAGGTGCTTGTCCAAGGTATTAGAGAGAGGACCTGTACCTGGTGACACCCACTGCCTGGACCACGTCGATGAAGAGTCTGGGTAATGGAATCATCTCCTTTTCCACCTTGAGCTGAATGAAGAGAGGATCAATGGTGTCTGTTTTGTCTGCTTCGGTGTTCTGAGGAGCCTTGGGAGCCGGGATGCCTGCAATCTTCTTTGCCTTAAATAGAAAAGAGCGAAAAATAGCAGGTTTAAAGAGGCCAACAATTGTAGGTGGGTCTGGAGGGAGACCCTTGTCTTCAGAGAGGTCCAAATCTCTGGCAAGAAGACCGATGGTTGACTGGAGGTGCCAGGTAACTTGTATGATGTGGAAGCTGAAAGGTCTCTACGTCTGGAGCTGTAAGAAGAAGATCTGCGTGGGTTGAAGACGACCTGTGTTTGAGGCTCACAGCTATGCCATGTTCAATGGCATTGGAAATGATCGTGGCCACATCTGGTGTGTAGGGAAGTGGCCTAAAGGGAGTGATGCCCAAGGTCTGGGATAGAGGTTCTTCGTCAGGAGTGAAACTTCTGTCATCACCAGATTCCTCCCCACTTATTATTTTATTTCAAAAGTGTCTTTCCTTGCGGTTCCCCAAACTTTTCGAGGGAGGAAGAGGAGGGCTAACCTCAACCGGCCTTTGAGGTTGGAAAGGGTGAGGTTCCACATGTTTGGTCTTTCCCTTGGCCTTCCTGGGGGCACTTGGGAGACCCTGCCATCCTCCTCTGCTGGGGTGCCTATAGCAGGCTGTGACTAGTCCTGGGANTGATGAACTAGGTAAGCCCTTGATATGGCAGATCTGATCCACCACCCTATCATTGAAGAAGAAGCCTTAAGCCCTTTCTTGGTGGGATGGAAAGAAACGAAAAGGGCCTCAGTGCGTCTGAAGTCAGCTGTCCTGTCAATATAGATCTTCAGTGCACGACGCACATCCAGCGTGTGCCACTTGAACTGGTGAGTTGGATTAGGGCAAAAATTTGGAAGGTTCAGATCCTGAGCACGATGGAAGGCGAATTTACCTTAGGGGTAAAGGTGGAATCAAGTCAAAGGACCACATGGTCCAGATGGAAAACACACAAATCAGACCTGATGGAAAGAGCCACCATTTCCAACACACACTTAGCTGACGTGACAGCAACAAGAAAGACTGCCTACATTGTGAGGTGGGGGCAGACCTCAGAGGTTCAAATGACGATTCGGTAAGGAAGTCCAGGACTTTGGCGAGGTCCCATGATTGGAAGTCAGAGTGGTGAATGGACCCCTGATGAAGTAGAGACCTGATCATGGGGAGCCGCCATGGTGGACCCACCGAAAGATTGATTAGTTCCGCATACCATGGATGGCACAGCCAATGGGGAGCGATTAGGATGAGCTCCTCCTCCTCTAGCTTCTTGCGAATCACCCTCTGTATCAGGAGGAAGGGAGGGAAGGCGTACAAAAGACCGGGAGGCCATCTGCACCTTAAGGCATCCGTCTCTTCCACGCCTGGCATTGTGTAGTGAGAGAAGTACCTGGTCAGCTGTTCGTTGGATCTCCTTACGAAGAGATCCAGAACTGGGGTCACATACCTCATGGTCAACTGTAGGAAGATGCGACGGTTCAGGCTCCATTCCGGCTCCATTCTGCAGGGTCGATTGTCATGCAACTCAACCAGTCTGCCTGGACGTTGTCGATGCCTGAAATGTGTTCGGAGCATAGAGAGAGAAGGTTGGTTTCCTTCCAGGCTAAAGGCCNACTTACAATACAATACAATACAAATACAATAAATAAAGCCATAATTCTCACTAAAGGCACAAATAAGACCTAAGTGCAAATTATCCTACCTTAAAAATACCATGCAAAGGCTTAGCTTTCTGGCTCTAATTCTGGGAAAGGAAAGAGAAGAGAATGACCAACAGCAAATCAGATGGACTCAATTATGTGTTGATGGGTATATCATTTCAATATCTGGAGGGAAAATTATAGACATATTGTCATATATAATATCATGTGGTTGCTTGGAGTTGACAGTGATGCGATGCTCCATAATCATCAGTCAATCAATTCAAGGAAATTGAACGGGCAATTTTATGTAATCATGCCAGCAAAACTCAATAGAATATTGAGAGAAACATCTATTTCAATATAGATTTATTACTTAACTGTATAAAATGTTTCTATATAATTTATCTTGTGTCCATTGGTTTTTCTCAGTAATTTTAACTTATCCCAATAATTCAAAATTTAAAAGTTTTGTATTATTGTTATATTTACGGTTCAAAAGAATCCTTATTCTTGTCTATTCCTCCTTCATCATCTTTGAGAAGTATGGATTCTTGACAGTTTGTATGTTGCAGTAGAAAAGTGAGATAGAAAGATTTTAAAACAATATACATTTAAAAGTGTGTTAGAAATATTTTAAGTCAACTGTTATTTTTAAAATCACTTACTAGTGCAATTGTTTTTTACTTGTACTATATAACTTGGTTTTTTGGTTTTTTTTTTGAACATTTACCATTTTGTTTTTTGCAGGGACCAGAACTGCTCAGCAAATACATTGGAGCAAGTGAACAGGCAGTTCGCAATATATTTATCAGGTTGGGTCCAGTAATATGGTGTTTCCCTGAGTCTATTTTTATGATTATTGCAAAAAATAGTAACTGAATTTGCTAATGGGGATCTGAGAAAGACAGGTCAAGAGGGTTATGAAAGAAATGAAATTGAGCTAGTCTTTGACTTATAACCATTCATTTAGTGATGCTCTAAGATGCGTCACTGGAAAAAAAAAGATTTAAGACTGTTTTTCACACTTACAACCACTGCAGTACCCCCATGGTCACATGAACAAAATTCAGTTGGGCAATTGGCATATTTTTATAACAGTTGTGTTCTGGGATAATATGATCAACTTTGACAACCTTCTGACAAGCAAAGTCAATGGGGAGCCAAATTCACTTTCGCGACCATGTTACTAACTTAACTAGTGACTCACTTAAGAAAGATTGCAAAAGGGTGCAAAACTCACTTAACAACTGTCTCGCTTAGCAGTGGAAATTTTGGGGCCAGTTGCAATAGTAAGTCAAGGACTACCTGTAGCAGGATTTGCTAATTTCACATTTTCACTTTTGGTAGATGATATTTTGTTTCCTCAGTCTGACGTGTATTTATATTGCAGAGCTCAAGCGGCCAAGCCATGCATACTTTTCTTTGATGAATTTGATTCTCTTGCTCCTCGAAGAGGTCACGATAACACTGGTGTAACTGACCGAGTTGTTAATCAGCTGCTGACTCAATTAGATGGTGTAGAAGGCTTAAAAGGTATGTGTGTATGCATGGTCCAAAACTAATCATAAAAGCAAAGTAAAACAAATATAGTAATTAAAACAATAACATTACATTGTTAAAAAGTCTGAAATGGTAATTTGAAGGTGCTTTAGGTGGTTTCTAGAAACCATGGTTACTGATAAAATTTTTGCAGCTTTCCGAGAATATACATAAAGGAAGAGCATAAATCTCATAATCAGAGGAGCCGTTTAAATTATTGACAAATTAGGTTGTGACTTTTTATCCTTATTTTGCATATAATAGTTGTTTAAATAACATAATGGCAGCTTTCATACATAAGTCTAGGGTATCTGCTAGGTAACATTTTCAGCGGGGTTTTGAGTGAAGTATCCTTTTTGTTTATATAGGTCCTTGGGTGGTCTGTTGGTCTTGTGAACAGTTGAATCACAAGCCTGATTGAATCACAGGATTAGTGGAATCACAAGACTGATTCTGGTCTTGTGACTTCTGACTGATTGCTGTGAGGCATGAAATTCAGTTGGTAAGGGGCCAGTCAGTTCTGTGGTTGATTAGTGATTTGGGTGGTCCAACTTCCTTATTAGTCCATAAGCTGGTTTTAAGTCAATGTGTTTGTTGATGGACTTGTTGGTAGAATGCCAGGCTTCAATATATTCAACTTCATTCCAGTCGAGCTGGTGTTGTTTGTTGATGGTGTGACTGGCAATCAGGGACTTTAGGTCTTGCCGTTTGACAGTCAGCTAGTGTCCTTGGATTCTGGTTTTTTACTGTCATTCTATCTGCCCAACGTAGAACTGGTTTACAATTATTACAACTGATTCCATATATTATATTTTGGTGCTATCTTCCATCTATGTTCTGTCTTTGAGCTTTGTAAGTTCCTATCTGAGTGTGATTGTGAGTTTGTGGGCTATTGTTATTCCAAGAGATTCCTGAGAGATTATTTTTTTTAACCTGAAAAGGTGAAATCAGGCATGTCAGGTAGAGATTCATCAAGCCTTAACATGGGGTTTGCTGCATTGAGATATACTGTAGATAGAAATACAATAAATAGATTTATTTAATAACTTTAAATCAATAAAAATAAAGAGTCTCCAATCCCTTGTAGTTATGCTAAGGTTTTGCAATTCCCAAGAGCTGCCCTGAATTGAAGAAAAGCATAGAATGGCATAATAGTTTTAAAAAACCAATATGTCCCTATTCCTCAGCCTTATATAATCTATCACTATTGTATGTATGTACACTGAGAGCTTATGCACTGGAGATAAATCCCTTGTATGTCTAATAACACTTGGATAATAAAGAATTCTAATTCTAATTATTCTAAAGTCACTGGCAATTATTAGTACTGAATTTGGGAATTGAGAAATGAAACCTAATACATAGATTCAAAGCAATCCTACCCGCCATTAATTTGGATGATGTGACTGTAGGATGGGAAATAAACCTTTATCATAATCTGATTAGTTTGATCAGCTTCCAGAGGAACAGCCATGATTACATTGTTAACATAAAATAGTCAGGGTGTGAGAGTATGTCATATCAGAAATCAAATATAACAATTAAAATAAATAATTAAATAAAATAGCAAAATAAATAAAAAAACCAGTAATTATTACATTCTCGTGTCTGATACAATCACAAAGATGATTGGCAGATATATAATAACACATATTCTTAATTCTATTCTAGGTGTTTATATATTGGCAGCCACTAGTCGTCCTGATTTGATTGACCCTGCTCTTTTGAGACCCGGTCGATTGGATAAGTGTCTATACTGTCCACCTCCTGATCAGGTAAAGAAATAAAATACTATGCCAGATGTTACATTAGGGAAAACATATTTTTCCTCTGTAAAACAAAAAGGCAGAATGAAACATATTTCCTGACAATCACTAGTATTGCATGAGATCAGTGATAGTATGTTCTTGTTTTAACCTGTTGTAAACATGAAGTTAGACCAGTTATTACATAATTACTGTATTTTTCAGAGTATAAGACGCACCGGAGTATAAGACGCAGCAAGGTTTTGAAGAGGAAAAATAAAAAAAAGGTTTTGTACTCTACAAACCTCCCCAAAATAACCCATTTTTCACAAAAATGGGCCCATTCCCCCCCCCCAAAAAAAGGCATGAATATCCTTTAGGGCAGTGTTTTTCAACCTTTTTTGTGCAAAGGCACACTTTTTTCATGAAAAAAATCACGAGGCCATGAAAAAA